ACTTTTTAATTTTCATTATCAATGCATGTCTACAATTAGGATAAACTTTATTAAAAGGTTTTTCACAAATTCAGAAACGGACAAGAACACAGGAAAGGGGGAACGTCAGAACAGTCAGGTTATAATTCCTCATAATACAAATTTATACACCTTGCTTGTTTTAGGAGAAACAACTGATCATTTTGATAAGCAAAACAGTCATAGTTTAAAGTGGTAACATTAACCATACCTTATTTCTTGAGAAAAATTCTTTGGGTAGTAGAACATGAATTCACAGCTGAGTTTTAGTTATCAGGTTAAGCAACGGTTTCTATTCAAATGGGAAAATTAAAGGCGTACCTCCCAGCACGTCCATAAACAAGGTGAGTAACTGATACAACTCATATGCTCAAAAACATTCTCTTATTACACGCAGACAAATAAAAGGAGGGCAGTCTGCTTGCGTGATACAGGTATCTGCACTGGTAAAAACAACCTGTAGTCACATCATTTAAAAAACTGCGAAGTGGCAGATAGTGAGGAAAAAAAAAAAAAGATGTATAATATTAAAAAGCTTTCAAAAAGCTAAATGTTAAATTTCCATGTCATTTGAACCTATCAATTGTATTCATATGTATTCAAGTTCCTGAAAAACTAATTCAACTAGTAATAAGCTAGACTACTGACGAATGCTCTTAGAATGATCCAACTTGGCACCACTACCAGTTAAATAAATAAAAAACATAATATGGTTAAATAAGAATAAATCAGAACCTGTACAAACACATATTTTGGTGTCATGAGACTACAAATGGTAGTTAAATCAATAATATTGGATGGCACAACCAAGGAAAGCAAATAAAGCAAGTAGAAGGGAGACTGTGAAAAAAAACCCAGTAACATTCAGGGCTCAGGCAAACAAGAACAAGGGAAAAAAGAAGAGAGAATGATCAGACAGGTAGAGCAAAGTCAGAAGAGTGTTAGCATGGAAACCAAAGTCAGACGGAGTCATAAGAGCTAGGGGTTGGGCAACAGTGACCGCTGGAGAGACTTAAATAATAATGAAATAAATAATTATTACAACAACACTTACAATACTCCACTACATATCATTTTGCTGAATGAGGATACTTTTTTATCCATCCAATTACGTGGTATTTTTCAAATTCCCCAAGAAGATAAACTTTTAACTACTCCTGTTTGGTGGCTGGTCTTATTGCCCAGCATCTCCTCTAGCACTTTTAACAATAAACCAGGTTGACACGTACTTCGTTAGCTTTTTACCACTTTCAATGTTCAAACAGAAACTGGGAGACCAGCTTATTTTAGGACGGGTCAAATAGGAGGTTGGATAAAATGATCTTATAAGGTGTCTTCCAACTTTTGACCTAAAATACCATATTTCTTTTGTGTATAGCTTTATTCAGTGTATACAAAGTAAATTCATACACAATTGTCCCTTACTATCTAAACTTTCAGTATCCAAATTCTCATTACCTCAACTCAGGAACTGAATAGACTGGATTAAATTTTCAAAAAAAAATCACAGTACCCAAAACTCAGAACTAGACACAGGAAATTAAGAAAATGGATGTCTCTTGATATCTAAACTTAACTTTCTGAAGTATAGATATTCAAACTGTAGAATTAAACAGATTTGAATAGCAAAATACGTGCATGACTGGATAACTGGCGTTCAATTTCACACAGGAAACTCAGGGAAGTTAAATGACTTGGTAAGCCCTCTATCTCAGAGTGGGAGGAGGCTGTGTAGATCAGGAGACAATGTCACATAACCAACAGTATGTATGGTTAATTAAACTGCTCTTAACAGTCACATTCTCTTAGTGATGAGGGAAGACCGAAGTAGGAAACAAAATTTTCAAGTATAAGAATGACTGGTTACCATCAGTTAACCACGTCATAGTCTAAAACCTTTTGCTCGCCTCAGTGATTTCATGTTACTTAGCACCTGGGCATGCACAGGTACAAAGGACAACCTCTTTCCTAAATAAAAGACAGAATCTGCATCCCAAGAGGTAGCATACTATCTGTTCTGAAAGGGATTAACTGCTCCCATTCCAAAACTTCATGTAGCCTGCGCAATTACCAGGATAGCAAGCAAAGCAATACACTTAGCTCTCATCCCTAAACAACAACAAAAAAATAAGCCTTTTAGTTTTATGCATTCTTACATGTTTAGGTGTACTAACAAATAACACCAACCAGCTAATACTCAAAAAATAACTACAGCTGGGGAATATCACAATATTTATTTAAAATACACATACCTTTAATCCCTGAACATCTAACACAGAGAAATACTCCAACATTGCAAACAGCAGCAGGTATGAAAGGATGTCCATCAACACATCCTCTCAGGTCCACCCAGCTTGCTCCCATGAGACTGTCTCTGTGACGCCTTGAGCAGGTTATTTAACTTCTCTGAGCTTTCATTTTCATTGAGGCATTGTTCATAATAATGAAAAAAATGAAACAAGTATGTGTGCCAATAGTGAGAAGGTGATCTAATACCAAGAAATACTATGAAACATTTTGAAAAAACAGTCCGAAAAATAAAGTAAATCTAAATTTATTGACAAGAAAAGATCTCCAGGATATATCGTTTAGTGAAAAAGTTTTAGAGAAGTAAAACATATATTAACACATTTATGTTACAAATACTCATACAAAACCAAAATTTTATTTCTTTATGTCTGTTTCCATTTGTATTTATTTATTTATAGGTAAAAACAAAGAAAACGGCCTGGTAAGATCTGCATCAAAATTGTCTGCACTGCCTGCTTCTCAAAACAGGAATAAAAGCCAAGTTAGCATATTATTTTATTGTCACTGATTGGGTTTTCAATGAGAATGTTTCCATGTAGAACTTATATAACAAACTGAATTTAAAATTTTCAAAGCCCAAAAAATTTACAGCACTAGAAAGGTCACAAGCCATTGAAGAGACCGTATGGGGTGCCATTGTACTCTGATACACGGTTTTGTAACAAGTCAGAATCAACTCTACGGCAACTGGTTTGAGTACTGTGTACTATAAAAATAAGAAGAAAAAAGCATCTGCATTTTCTCCTTTCCCTTAAAATCATTATTTAGTTTTCAAAAACTCTGAAACATGAATCAGGAAGTCAGAGTCTTCGATAAATGCAAATATTTAGAGGGTCACACAAATTTGCCATATAATAAGCAATTCAATTTGATCATCAAATATTCAGAGTACGTATAGCTATATATTGAAAATCTCTTAGAATGAAACCATTTGGTGTTTCAAGGGGGCAATACATTTTTTGAAACATATACTGTGTTTTAAAACTTATCATTTTAGGATAATACTTTAAGCCATATATATTCCTTAATACAGAGTAAGTGAATACACTATGTAAGGTAGGATTTTGTGTTCAACTTTTTTAAAGTATATTAAAAAAATGTACACATTAAATGTTTGGAAGGCTAAACACCCAACTGCTAACACTGTCTCAGTCTGATGACTGGAAAAGTAGTGGGGAATAACAGAGACAGGCAATCCCAGAGCATTTAATTTTTGTTAAAACAAACATGTTTATTTTTAGTAATTAAAAAAAGAATAAATTCAAATTTCAATCTGTTAATGTCAGTTATTTTTAAATTTGCATCTACAAATGAATCTTCCTTCTCGTTTTCTACTTCTAAGAATATAGTGAGAAACTAAAAATAGCAACAGCAAAGAGCAAGCCCTGACACCAAGATGTTTTTGTTGTTGATCTCAGATGAGTAGGAAGTCACAGAAGGCCACTGCTTTTAAGGTCTGGCTAAAATGAAATAAAGTCACGGCACTGGGAAAACTCAAGAATAAAAAGGTATCCAAATTATACTAATGCAGGATTGACCCGCTCTAATATTAAGGAAATTATTTAGCCTTGGCTTCAAATTTTTACTTAAAAAAAAAAAGAAAGGTAACTATTGAGACTAAAATTGTTCTGGACAACACAGAGGATGACAAGAGATTTAAGAATTATCCATTTAAACCATAAATTCTCTGCATATAAAATGGCACATGTACAAGGTTATGTACTGCAGCTTTACCTGTATCAAGACTAGAAACAACCCCAAAACCAAAAAACCAAACCCACTGCTGTCGAGTCAATTCCGACTCACGACGACCCTATAGGACAGGGTGGAACAGCCCCATAGGGTTTGTAAGGCTGTAATCTTTACGGAAGTAGACTGCCACATCTTTCTCCCACAGAGTAGCTGGTGGGGTCAACCCACCAAACTTTTGCTTAGCAGTTGAGTGCTTTAATCACTGCTCCACCAGGGCTCCTGGAAACAACCCAAGGATCCTTTAACAGAGGACTGGCTAAATAAACTATGGCATGCGCACACAATGGAACACCAAGCTGCTGAAAATACTGAGGACACTCTCTGCGTACTGGCATGGAAAATATCTAAGATCTACTATAAAATGAGATACACACAAGGCACAGAAACACGTCTATACAGTATCTATTTCTATTTAAGAAAGTCCCCAGAGTAGGGATGCATGAATCTGTATAATGAAACACTGGAGGATATACAAGGAAACAGTAAAACTCGCGACCTCCAGCAGTAGAAGGGAACAACAAGGTTGACTTCTCCTCTTTTTATAGTGTTTTTTTTAACCGTATGAATACTGAGAGAGAATTAAGTGTGCAATGCTGTAAGAGTTACTTCCCCTATCAATCTCCATTCTCATCCACAAACAAGTTATAACACCTCCATTAAAGAGCTGTGCATAACCCACAGATGTCCACGCTTTACTGAATCTGAGTGAGGAAAATACACTACTCAGTGTTTCTGTAAAACATACTTATTCATCCACCATTGAGCTTTAAAACTGGGTTAATTACAGATGTCTTGTGAGTGCTGAAGCCAATAACATTAATTTACTATTGAAATCTCCTAATTAAGAATAAGATTTAACATGTATCCTAAAACAGTAGTTGAGTTGTAAAGGAGACTTACTCTTAGGAGATGCATGCATTTAAGTATTGAGTGATGAAATGCCCAGAGGGCTGCAACTAATTCTCGTGTTCATTTAAAAATGTATCACACTTTAAGGGATTTGGAGGTTGTATGATATATTATAAATCCAGACTCTCCTGCAGAGCTCTGTAAAATTCAGATTCCTTTATCCCGTGCTAGAGATGCTGATTCAGTGGAGAAGCCCCAGCACCTGTACCTTTAAACCTCTCTGTGACTCTGGTGCACACCAAAATTGAGACCACATGCTTGAATTAAATAAGGTTGAAGACATAAATGCTACATTTTAAAATTGCTCTTCAATAGGGGCTGCTTCAGGCCCTTCATCATTTCAGTAGCCCTCCCAGGGAATGCTCTCATTTCATTAACATTGCTTTAATCCTTCAGAAAATGAAATTTCTTCCAGTTCACAAAAAAACACTGTAAGTTACTATACACTTTCATTGTAATGCAAGCAACCCTAAACCTATAATTAGTGTTCCAAAAACTGATTTGTAAGTGAGAACTTTTTCCCCAAGGTGACTGGGGCAATCTATCAAGGCACAGGGTTCCATTTTGACTCCTCCATTGTAAGTCAGTTCTGACATAAGTTGAATACCTCATTTTTTTTTTTTTTTTTAGTTTTCATTATTACTGCCTTTTATTATCAATGTCTATCAATGTCTTTTAAATCAGCAGTGTTTTGAACAGTAAATCATAAAACTGAACGTCTGTGAGTAAACATCTGAGAATAACATCAAATCACGCTGTAACATATTACTAATGTTAAGATGTACAAAAAAAGATTTAAAAAAGACGGTCATAAGTATGGTTCCTCATAACTCCAATGCGTTGTAAGTCAGGGAGTATCTGTATATCTAAATAACAATGTCCCCGAAAATACAAGTTTCCTCCAAACCACCCAAACCCTATCTCCACCCACCACCAGGAGTTGAACTTAAATATTAGAAAACTTTAAAAACATGGGCAAAAAGCTTAAGAGCAAGTTAAATAATCTTTTCTAATCCAGTTAAAGGACAAAATCATCAATGACTGCTGTTTTATAAAACAAAAAGCCAAAAGATGATATGCATAGTTTCTAAAGAACTCATTTGGCATTTTCTGCTTGATCCGTTACTATGAAAGAAGCAGAACAGAACAGGTTCTAAAGAAAACACACGAAAGGCATATAAAAAAGTTACACTGCAAATTTTTAAACCTGGAAATCATGATTTCTATGGAAAACATTATAAAGCCTCGGGTAAAATGCTTTGTCACCAGACAGAGTGGAAACTGGATAGATTCAGAAATTGAAACAAAAAGCTTCAATTTTTTTCTTTTTATTTCAAACATCATGGTTGAAACTAAAGATAAGTTGAGTTTGAGGAAAGTTTCAAAGGGGCAAAAAGTGAAGAAATCCAAGAAAGTGAGAGCAAGAGAACTCAAAGACGTGTGAAGCATAAAAACTGAGAAGTCCTGACCTCCCAGCAACAAAGGGGATGCAGCTCGGTGACATACTTTATTGTCTGACGCTCATTTCAAAGCACAAGAGTCACGGAGAAATGGAAAGTCTCGTCAAGGTTCTACCAGAAGTCACAAATCACAAATATTACACTACTTCTCTGAGGAGATACATTCATTCCAACTTCAAATTCAGTATACACACCAAAAAACACATAGGGCTCCCTCATTTTAAGGTTATCAACTATGAGAAATTAAAAGAATTGAGAATTCAAAAAGTCAATTTCTGTAACTGATTGTTTTGATAACTATCTCTTTAACTGTATTAATAATTAAAACATAAAAAGCACAGACATTCTGCACAAGAGGAGAAAGAAAACAAAAACAAAGATCCTGAAGGTGTTTTTCTGCAAAAGAAGTTTCAGTGGATTGTTCTGCCAAGATCCCCCATCTTCAATCAGCACTAGTTGGATATTTTTTGAGTTCCACTGCAGTTTTCCACTGAAAAACCAATGAAAGAAAGCCAGGAAATCCCTCAGCACTATGGTCTGTTCGCCTGTTTTCCCCCTGGAAAACACCCGTTTGCCACGAATCCTTGGACCATGAAAGAACTCTCATTTCCTTTGCGGAACAGGAACGAAGTAACTCATCCATTCATTCAACAAATATTTACTGAGTGTGTACTATGGACTGAGCACTGTTCCAGGTCCTAGGGATATATCAGTGAATGAAAAACTGTAGTGTAATCAAATGCCCAGCTTACCAATTAATTTACAGCTAATATAAGAAATCCAAAGGTAAATGAATTATCTTTGCCGTTACTAATGAATAAATGAGAACTCACTGACTCAGAGATATGGAGTAGGCCTACATTTCCAATTCAGTTTTCTCATTTTACAGATTCAAAAAAAAAGATATACACACAGCTTAAATGACTTGCTTAAATCACTCTGTTAGCTGGTGAAAGAACTAAAATTAAAAGCCAAGTCGCTAGAGTTCCAGTTATCAGTTACACACTCTTTACCCACTAGACTATAGACCAAGGTTGCCTGGAACACATGCTGAAAACATACAGTACTACTTCCTTATAGCATTTATCAAAACTTGTAATTACATATTTATGTAACTACTTGCTTAACTGTCCCCCAGGCTGAACAATAAGTTCCAAATTGGGAGGAGCCATGTCTGTTTGGCTCACCTCTGTATCCCCAGCACCAAGCACTGTGCCTCACCCTTAATAGGCTCTCTAATGAAACATTTGTTGAAAGTAGAGTATGTCTGAAAGGCCAAGACACCCTGCTGCTAAAAATTTATAATGTATCCACTTAAAGACTCGTTATAATCACAATTAAAGCTCAAACACAAACAGGTGCTCAGTATTTTGAAATTTAGTAAATTAGTTTATAAACAAAAAGTATGACACCAACACACGATAAAATCAGAATTCAATTTGCAAATGGGAATTCCCAGCAAAATCAAATAAATCTAGTTTTGTGAGAAACAGATTTTATAACCACATACCGTATCTCACTAACTCCTCTCACTGTCATTCATCCTACCTAAAAAAGCAAAATCCACAATTTATAGGTTCTTGGTCAAGTTATCAAAAATAAGACTTAACATGCCAACAACATAGTATTAGAAAAAAGTGTTAAAAGAATCCAATGTTAAACAACATATTCATAATTCTAGCCCAATATCCTTTCTTACAGCCTGAGGTTTACAAAATCCGTTACTAAAACAGCATCAGAAGATCCCTACCACAAATTAATTTTCCCATTATATAAAACATGCCCATAGTCCAAGAGTAATATCTCTCATTAATCATGATTATTAACCATGTAGAGTGATTTCAAAGTTATCAAACACTTTAAGCTTCAAAATATATTTAACCATTAAGATAAAGTGGTTTCTTTCCTAGTTATCTTAGCTAAATTCCGGTTTTTAAAGTCTCATTCAAGTACCAGAAGAACTAATTTCATAGACTAATAAAGATGCTACAAACACTTATAACTTTACACACGGATTTGCTCTTTTCAGCAAATGACTTGCACGGCCAAGGACACAGAGGATGATACTATTCTAAGCCAGCGCTAATAAGCCTGACATTTCTTTAAGCTTCACTACTAACCTTTGAAAGACACAAACTTGTTTTAAAATAATATACAAAATCATTAACTATATACATACAAGTAATCTCTTCTGCAGGCGAAATCTTTCCATAGTAATACACAAATGCCTTGTTTTTGATAATGTAATGCAGTTTAGTCTCCAGAGGATTCCAGGGACAGGGAGCACATATCTGATTTAGGTCACTGTGCTTTGCAGAGATGAACTCTTCTAAGTCGCTTGTATGGTACAGCCAATCACTGTGCTCTAAGTCACCTAATCTTTCAAGCTAATAACTATAACTTACACAGGGTCACATGGCATAACAGACTGGGAAAGTCATATATGCATTTAATTATAACTAAAAAATACCAAAAGAAGAATTTAGCAACCAGTTTTTGCCTTAAATCTTTCTGCAACCTTAGTTCAAAAGAGAGTATACTCTAAGGATATATGTGGATGGATGTGTGAGGGTATATACAGTTTAGAACACATTTCAACACAGTTAAATCTGATCCTTTTACATATGATTAGGAAAGGTTCAAAAATGCTTTCCTCTGAAAAGAGCTTTGCCTCTTTAACATTAGTGTATTCATACCAAATTACTTGTAGCTGTATTAATTAACAGAATTAATAAATCATGACTTCCAACCATCA